AAATAAGTCGAAATATAAAATAGTAGTTATAATGTTATAATTTATCCTTATGCGAATGATTAAGGTATTGTTGATAGAATCGAATTCAATTCTGAAATGTCAAACCCCTGCCATTTCTTAAAGTTTCAATAGCCTAGAAAAACTACATTATAGTTCGAAGTTTGGTCTTTCAGTTTATCAAAAATGGAGTCATTCAGATGGGTTTTTTCTTTAAAATCACGTGGATCACCGCTGTATGGTTAAGTGTCCAAGTCTAAAACAGTCAGCGAGGTTGCAAAGGCTGCCTCGAGTACATCTTTGTCGCTTTTTTGATCGTTTTCTGGAGAACGGCAGGTTGACAGTTCCATCTATCCCGGATTAATGATTCCAAAATTTTCTGACGCATGCAGCATTGTTACCCCCTGCACAACCTTTCACGCTTTGCTGGATCCCCTATATGATGGAATGCTTCATCAGATAGACCACAGTGACGTGAGGAATTATTTTCTACTGTCATATGTGGAGGTAGTGTCTATTCTTGGCTTGCACCGCTCAGATGAGGCTCGTAGAGGCCGGTGTTTTCGTTTTCAAATTAGTAGACTTACCGATACCCAGAAGAACTGCCTACAAAGACAGAGAAACGGAAAATAGCCATCCCGGTGACTGTAACCATGCGATGATAACGTGCAACACGAACGAGAGCTTCACAAACGCAGAAACGAAATTGATCATCCATGTTACACATTCCGAATAAATGGTGCGGTCATTCATTGCCCACCGTGAGTCAGAGAAATTCAATGACAAATGAAGTACCTTTCGCAGTGTCAAGTTCATTCGTTGATATCGTCTAATCCATTTATAAATATTTAACCGTGTTTGTTAGCTGAAATCATAATTTTGAGTGTTTTGCAGCTTTTCAGCACTTTCGCCATAAAGCACCAGTTACTGCAACTTAGAAGGAGATAAATTGCTCGTCGAAATCATATCTGCCTCTACTTTTCTCTTGTTCCTCCATATTGGATGCAGGTGTCCCGTTTGATGTCTGGGGTATTTCGGATCCCACACGAGAAGCTCATAAGCTGTATGCTCAATCAGTCTGTCTAACCGGGATAACCTCGTTTTCTTAGCCTCCACATCTGTTCTGGAAATAGAAGTCATTCTTAACGTGATCCTGTCTTGTAATCCTCACTATTCGTTGAAGCCATTGCTGATGTACGTACTTCAGCTGTTTTTCTTGTACACCGTTAGAACAACTGTCTACATTCCATAGAACAATACTCATCTGATTTGGGTGAGGTACATGTTTAGTCCAGCTATGCGCAAGTATTTATCATGAGTTAGACAAGATTTGGCCTCCCATAATCAGAACAGAATCGATGGCGTTTTCAAAAGGCTCGAATGATGTTTACAAGACCATAGACCAAATTGTAATAAGTTATTTCCTATACATAATGCTGTTAAGAAATTACGTCTTTATGCACAAGAATACTTGCCTGCGTATCGACAGTCGCATAGAAGGTTTATGACTTGTAAAACGTACATGTTGCCAATGACGTCCATGTAATATAGCAAATATTTCTATGTTATATATTAATGTAAATTGTGTAAACCTGTTGGGAAAGCGATTCATTAGTACCAGTCCAGAAAGATAAATGTAACTAATTTTTCACCCTGCAAAATGAACAAAAATGGAGCCTTCATTAACAAAGCTATTCAGATAACGCAAAATTCCTCCAAGATCAGATTTCACGCATGCTCCCAATTGCTTGGGTTTACTTAAGCACCTGGTCATCAGGATTTGCGCTTAACTTTCTATTTTCGCGAAACAACTATCGTTCATTCGCTGAACAATTATTCACTTATCATAAACGTTCATTTTACAGCAATGCTAACATTATTTAAATCTTTACTGACAGTATTTGACAGCATATCATGCCACTTTGATCCTATCCCTTTTTTAAATATTAATTTCATCACTTCTACTTATGTCGTCAGTTTTCTTAAGTGCTACTCCTTCAGGAACGGAAAAAAAGATATTTAGAGTGCAAGCAGGGTAAATCCGCAGCCTTGAGCCTTTGTTAACATCCAGAGCTTGCTTAATTCATTGCTTTTCTCGTTGTCAATGCAAATGCGCTGTGTCTCTTAGTACCCTTTGTCGTTCGTTCGCCTGCAGCCAATGTGTACTCCCAAAAAAGGGATAAAGATTCCGGCAATTTTTGCCACCACTCTGACATAATAGGTGAGACAAATATGTCTGATTTAAGGTCATTTCTGCCCCCCCCCCTCTGACTCCTTCAAACTAATGTAAAAACCCAGATCAGAACATCTATGTGCTTGTGAGTTAGAAATAATGATATCCCCTCTCTGACGTTATCTGCCAGCAATTCGATATCGCAGTTAAATATTCTCAAATGTAAGAGAGTGAATGCAAATACTGTTCCATCCTTGAGCAATTATAATTTCACTCTTTCGTATTCGTTGCATCACTCGGTCAAAGGACAACAGTGTAGGCAGTTCCCGTTATCACTGCCTTACTATGACGTTGTCCAACCTTACGACAATTTTTACTGCGTCTCTTATACGTCTTTTTAATTATATGATTTTCTTTTGTGGGATTTGGCACTCCACCAATTTTCCTCAAGGTGCCTCTCAAACACTGAAATATCGTCGAAAGCATTAAAAAAAATCAGTGAAAATTGCACAGTGGTACGTCGAACAGCGATAACAATAATAATTAGCAACGCATAGCCTATGCCATGAATTGAAAGTACGTAAACCGTGAAGTAAAGGATTAAGTACCATCGTTGATGCTGAACGCCAAAAAGTACTATTTGTGCGGTACATCCGGCTCTACAGTCGTTACCATCAGCACCAGGAAGAAGCTGAGGAATTTTCAACTATTCAAATCAGTAAATGGACCGAAAATAAAACAACCAGTTCATGCGTCGATTCTCTACACAGACTTAACACTGATTTGATTATGCTAATAATTCTGCTTATGTTAACATCTGACTGCCTGTGTGGCTTAACTGTAATTATTGTATTGCCAAATGGTCTGCCTTAAATTACGTACATTCATAATACTACCGAACAGACGATCATTGTTATCTTTGATTCTTTTGAACTGCCTGAGGCAGAATTCTAACGAATCAGCGAAAAAAGTCTGGGCACAAGACCTGGAGGCAAGAAAAATAGCCCCCTTTACTTGGCAGAGAACATCCGACAGATCAAAAACATTCGAGCAGACGAGAAGACGAATAACACCCTAAAAATCAGCAAAATAGTCTAATCCATAATGAGGGTAATCGCGTCAAATAGAGGGATAAGGTAACTACGTATGAATGGCAGAA